GTCCAAGAACCAGAGCTTCCAAAATAGTTCTTGGCGCGGCCGCCAGGCCGTGAATAGTCGCCCTTATTGGTAGGCGGCGTTGCCCCGCCCAGCGTCGGCCGAGCGCAAACAGTCGACGCCAATGCGAACACTACTGGCGTGCGGTCGGGGGGTCGCATGGCAACAGATTAATTTCCCACGCCGGTGCAGAGATGGTGTCAGATGCTGTTGGTAGGCGAGGCCGCGCTCGACTTGCGAGTGATCGTTGCAAGTGTGAAAGTGTCGCAGCGTTGCCCTTAGCTGTCGTGGAACTTGCTCTATGTCTGACTGGGGCGTTTTCGCTGTTTGGTCATAGCCTTATGCAACTAGAACCTCTTGTTGCAACTGCTGTTTATTCTAAACGATCGCTGTCACATTTCCACCACAATTGGCCTACAGCGTCCAAAGAAGTAAACCTTGCAAGAAAGGGGAAAGTATGGGTATCAATAATTTATGCTTCTTACCGGGTCAACGGCCTGTTTCTGATCAATTATCACTGGGATCTAGGTCAGAGGTGTAACATATTACAAAGCACGCTACATTACAAATCATAGGATATGGTACAACGAATAGCCATTTGTGGTCAAGATACTGCACATGATACCATTTAGAACAATTAGCTGATGCATCAACAAATGGGTGAAGACTTTTCATTGATGTGAATTCCCCACATCAATTTGTTGGGTCTGTCAGGGGCGCCAGGAGATATAAGTTGAGGAAAGGCTTTTCCAGAGGACTTCCTGAACAACATGGGGTCTCCTTTCAGGGGGGGGGGGGGGGGGGGCTTCCAGGCCTGGTCCTTTTGGAGCGGGCACCGATGCATGTGACATGTGAGGCCTCATTGAACTGGATCATGAATTAATATTCATGCAAATCTATGTCGACAAGAAAAATCCAGAATAGGGGAGTGCGTAAATGTTTAACTGTGTTGAAGTCTAGTTTCAGTGCGTAAACGTGACACCGATCAAGCCGTGAACAAGTAATCCTAAATGGGGGGCCAAACGCATAGAAATACGTCCAAGTTGTCAAAACATGGCTGTTGTCCTCTACGGCTGTCCATTCAATCCCCGAGCCAGTAACTCATAAAGCAACGAAACAATTTCGCCGTTGACGAAGCAGCAACGGTGAGCTTGTCTCCCGAGCTGGGAAAGATGAGGGTCAGAAAAACTATGTTCGGAAGGCTCAATGCCCGGCAGATCTATACGGGGAATACCCACACTCGGATTGCCCACGCTCAGGAGGTTTCGGAAGAACCATCTACTCCCCCAGATGAGACTCTAAAAGGAAATGGGGCAAATAGCGAATGTGGAGCGCTGATAGCGAATAACAGGGGGGCTCAAACCAACCCACACCGGAGCATGTGGACTGGGCAACACGCACTAACTGATTGAGGTATGGCGGCGTTTCTGCTAGTAAAAGTCCCACCAGTCCAATAGGAGGCACTGATTAACCAGTCATGTCATGAGATCCCGCCGGGTTGAGAGATGACTGTGCTTAGTTTCATGTATCTAGGAAGTTAGTCTGTAAGATGGGCGAAATCTGAGGACAACCTCGGTTTTTTAGATATGCTCGCCCCACAAGGGAAGTCGGTGACACTGCCTCTGTTCATCGCATGAGAGCAAACCTAGAAATCTATCAATCGCTTAAAGAAAAAGGCAACGCTTACACGTGTGCTAACCGTTAAAGTTTAAAACAGTACCGTAACACACACGCGCACACGCACACACGCACGCACGCACGCACGCACGCACGATTTTTTCTCACAATTATGAAATATATGCCAAAACACAGGGACGTCAGAATACCGGGAGGCCCGTGGCTACGCCAAGATTCTATGCCAATATTTCCAAAATATTATGACAAATCCATAGTTCCAGGTAGTGCACGTGGTCACCTGTGAATAAGTTACCGCATAACGCGCGACTCAAAAGGCCTGCGAATGATCGCAACTGTTGCAAATCTGTGCAGATCCTCACAAGAAAAAGTATTAAAATAATCAAGCATGCAAGCTTCTATATACTAATGTAAGGCACACGGCACTATGATAAAGCTTGCACGAGACATCAATGGCTGGGTCGGAAGGTTTCGATGGACTGTAGCACAGATCAGAAAGCAATTCGCCACAGGAAATCAGTGTCAAAATCAATCAGCAGACAAGTATGTAACAATCAGCATTTCACGATGGTGCTTGCGAGTTTATCCTCTGTCAACGTTTACCGACACGCAGCGATTCTTATATCCTTGGTCCGCGTTGTCTTATGCCGTTGCTGAAATGTGCACCTAAAAGTTTAAGTATGTTATAATGTGTGCCATTGGTGCACGTATGTCGACTTCTTCCTCTCCTAATTGTGAGCGTACGCTCTCCGTAGATGTGTCCCCAGGTGTTCATTAAACAAGCCTGAGTGCCATGCATTATTCTTCTCACATACAATTTCACCGGAAAAAAGAGTACAAGACATTTTGTGTGCGTCCTGTGCGTACGGAACCATATACCATATATTGTGGATTCTGCTCTATTCTGTGCATTTTACTTTCGGTATGTTGAGACCATTGGTGTAGGAACGGGGGGCCAGGGGACCATGGACCCCCCCCACTTTTCAAGGTGTGGGGCTTCCAATGTTAACTGCCCCACCCCCTCCACTTTTCAGATTAAGGTTGCATTTGGCTTACTTTTGCACTACATATAACATGCATGCCGATTTACCTAGTTCACCAGACATTGCCCCTAAGATGCGTTGCTGCGTCATCTTTCTCGTTTACTCATTGGCCATCGCTTAGTGTAACAACCGCGAGGCAGACGCCGCACGCGATGGAGACTGCAACGCCGGGCGTCGAGGCTGTTGTTGCTATGACTTGGGAGCGCGCATGTTCATCACCATATTACGTAGTTTTCTTTTCAGTAATCAGTTAATGACATGGTCTTGATCATATTAAGACGAACATGGGTTAGCCATATTAATAGAATTAGGAACCCCATTTCATCTACAATCTACCATCACGGAAAACTCAATATCTCTGAAGAACACAGAAAAGCACGGAGCTAGAGTCTATGTGACAAATAATGGACTATCTGCGGTGATCAGGGACGTTGTTGCGTCAATGAGGGTTCCTGTGCTGATCCGGGGCTAACTGCGCGGGTCAGAAGGCCTCCCGTGTCAGGGATGGGAACAATGTGGTATGATATATCCTTCTAATGGCCTCCGGATCGACCAGGCGATCCCACCCGGTGCCGCCAGAATGATAGCCAGAAGACGCTTTGCGATGGAAGGCCCTTCAGCCCTTGACTGGGAACGGTAATGTGCCCGTGATGCTTTACTCAAGGGGCCCTTACCCGGAAGGAAATGAGTCTCATTATTGCTGAGTAGAGTGGGATCTCATTACTGTTGAAAAGGATGGATCGAAACAAGCTTAAAGGCGAGCAAGTTCATGCCATGTTTGCCTGAGCACGCTCATTTTTTCAGAATGTACTAGTGAAGCAAAGTACATCAAAAGGCTTGAGCACACCCGCCCGCAACCTAGAGAGCAAGGACAAGAATGGTCTGGGTTGCAGCTTCCGGAGAACCAAAAAAGTTTCGGCCACTGCAAGTGCCACCAGGCGGCGGGCGTCGTGTTAATCTGTCTTCTGGATAGATAAATACTTGCAAAAACACGAAAAGTAAGGAACCTACCTTCACTCTTCCAGTTTAATCACCAGATTCCAGCTCCACTTCACCGTGCTTTAAGGGCAAATTCGTTCTTTTCATCAGTCAAAAATTGCACACGTGAAATATGCGCTCCATACTTTTAGAATATTTTAGAATACTTTTTCAGGAGCGTCGTCATTTTCGCCCACCCGTTGGCCACAGCTTGGCATCACCTGCTAAGCCGACGTTGCGCAGCCTATGGAGACTGCAACGCTTGGTGTCGAGGCTTGTGTTTCTAAGACTTTGGAGTGCGCATGCTCAAAATTACGTCACATAACTTATATTAATAATCGATTACAGTGATAAAAAGTAATCATTTCAGAAGCGTCACGATTTTCGTCCACCGGTGGGCCACGGTTAAAAGTAAGCTACTGGGCTAACGCTCCGCAGAAAATGAAGGCTGCAACGCCTGGTGCTGAGGTTTTTGTTGCTAAGATTTGCGAGCGCTCATGTTAAAAAGCATGTCCCATAAATTGAACCACTAATATATTCTAACTGAATGGTGAACATTTCCAGACAAACATGGCCTGGCCATGTTAATACACATTGTTGACCACTCGATCTGCAAATTTTCATCTTGAAATTTGGATCAAACACATCGATCTACAATCTGCCTTCGCGATGTCTTAAATGTCTGTAGAACCCAGCTGAAAATTCTGACAAGGCTTCTGAATTCTATCGGCTTAGAGTCAGCTAAATCATTGTAAATTAAGACCACCGGTGATTTATTCCATGCAGTCGTTCAGCGGTTAATTTCGCAGTTTATTTACCTCAAAATACACGTAGAATTCCGCTCGCGGTAGCTCCTGGTTTCTGTCCGGGTTACAAGGTAAAAATAACAATAAAACGAAGAAAATAGTGTCCCTTGTTAACCAGCAAGCTATATCCCGGGAATTTAGGAGGGATCACCATAAGATGGGCTTTTGTCAACCATGTGTTCCCCCTTGGCAACGCTCTGGCTACGTCCCTGCCTACACACAAAAGCAGATCAAATTGCGTACATTGCATGATGGACAATGAAGTGTCCGTTGGATTATTCCATACCTAATGTGGACAGCTTCCCGGAGGCTATTTTTCTGCGATGGATGGTAGAAGGGAAGGCTATTCGGAAAACATACTGTTGCACGTGTCCAACACATGTTTCATCATGTAGTAGCAGCGCCGATCCAAAAGTATGGAACAAAGTAGCCATACGATCAGCTCGCAGTCAGTCATGCGGGAGGCATCCGCGCCAGGGCAATGACCACCGACGGCGGACAGAAGCAGGGCCCAGATATGGAACATTTGGCAGATGGGCCTCGTGTCTTGGTTCTTAAAAGCAGTATGAGCCATCGATCCACTTTCAAAATTCTCACCAGCCTATGTTCAGGCCGTATTTTGGCATTTACACTGTGGAGGCAGATGCCTACTCAATGACCCAAAATGCCCACCCGCTCGTGCAATTTCGCTTCCCCATGATGCTAAAATGGACAAATAATCCCGGGAGGCTGGATAGCCTTATTTGCCAAATGACAGATGAGTCGAATAGGCAAATGATTGTGCAACAGTGAGAACAGCTCTAGATGTATACCTAGCATAGCAGCCATGACATTTGAATAAAGAGCGATAACAACCTCCATCTCTACCCCCTCCCGCCGGTCATTGGGCTCGCTTTCCAGTAAAAGTTCCTGATGTACACCCTTAGCCTGGCCCTCCACCTTTTGAAACATTCATACGCCTTTGATTGAGACATATATGACAAGTTTGATGAAGTTTTTATGACAGTCCTTTTTCTATCGATTTCGGCAAAGAAGCCTGGCATGAGCTAGCTCCATGAACAAAAACGCGCAAGTGTCATCGGCGTGTCGCGTGTGCGATCATGGTCTTATATGTCACAGTGCTGGAAGAAAAGATGAATACAGACATAGTCTGAAAAATAAATAATGAAGTCTAGCAGGATTATAGTTCAGACACTATCACTGCACGCGAAAACACTAAACGTGACAAAGAATGCAACAACTTGTACGAATGCTCCGTTTACAGAATGAATAAGGTCGGCATAGTGAGCATGATCGAGGAAAGCTTGATAGCATATCATTCTTCGGTATCGCACTGAGTACTTCCTGACTGTTTCCAAGAACCATCTCGCAGATTTGACAACAGCCTGGTGCTCTTCGCAAACTCATTGCACAACTTGACCGTACAGCTATAGGTAATAGCCGTACACCACTCCTAGCTCTATTATTTGTTTTCATTCATCTGTCTTTCGAAATGAAGCCTAAATCAAGCTTGTACATCAGATATGTTGACGAAATTTGTCGCATCGGAGCGTAGGAGGCTGACTGGTTAGATTTCTTTGCTAAAATTAGAAACGCCACCCCAACATGTCTGTAATACCGGCACAGAGCGCTCAACAAAGTTAACTGCTTCCTTGACACCTTATTTGTAGTACCGCTAGATGGGACCTAAACCACAGTCATACGGTTGAAGCCCATAGTGCCCCGATTATACTACACTTCGCGTCGGCACGCCCATGACTAAACAGCAAACAGCCATGAAATCTCAAATATTAAGAGCGTTGCGCGTTTCTTCTGGCCTTCAGTCTTGTGAGAATAATGTGCTTGAAACTGAATTAAAATGGGAAGTGCTCCTCGTTTTCCAGGACAATATATACCCGTAAAAACGACCGTACGGTGCCGCTTGCATTGCGCCTCCCCGATGTAATTCCTCATCACGTCCGAAAAGAAAACATAAAAGGTGAAATAAATGCATTCTTCATAAGTGGAGCACGTCTCCATAGTTGACCTAATGTGAGAACAGGGATATACCGCGCTACCACTGCACAGCGGAATGACTGCAAACAGGGGCGGGTCCAGTATGTCGTAAAGGGGGGAGGTGGAGCACGCAGGATTGTGGTGCCCCCTAGAGTTTGGGGTCCACTCCCAAAAAAAATCTGCAATTAAATTTGAACATGAAAACGATATGTGCATTACATCCCTAGGTTTTTAGCCAGGTATTGCCAGCTTTTAGCGTTCATTTTTTTCTTCTCTTTTTAGCCCTCCTTTTCTAGGGGCTGCGCAGCATAACCTGGGTTCCAAAACGTAAATGATTTATTACATGCATAAATGTGTATGTATATACGTATATATATATATATATATATATATATATAATACATATATATATATATATATATATATATATCAATATATGTGGTTACGGTTTGAATAATGGCGCGCACCAAGCAGACGGCACGCAAGTCTACCGGCAGCAAGGCGCCGCGCAAGCAGCTGGCCACTAAGGCAGCTCGCAAGGGCGCGCCGGCCACCGGTGGCGTCAAGAAGCCTCACCGCTACCGTCCGGGCACGGTGGCCCTTCGCGGGATCCGTCGCTACCAGAAGAGCACGGAGCTGCTCATTCGCAAGCTGCCGTTCCAGTGGCTGGTGCGCGAGATTGCGCAGGACTTCAAGACGGACCTGCGCTTCCAGAGCAGCGCTGTCATGGCTCTGCAGGAGGCCAGCGAGGCGTACCTGGTCGGTCTGTTCGAGGACACGAACCTGTGCGCCATCCACGCCAAGCGGGTGACCATCATGTCCAAGGACATCCAGCTGGCGCGTCGCATTCGTGGTGAGCGTGCTTAAAAGCGCTGAGAGCGAAATCATCAACTTGGTGATTCATCAACTTGATTCATCAAATCATCAACTTGATGAAAAACATCAAGTTGATGATTTCGCTCTCAGCGCTTTTAAGCACGCTCGCCACGAATGCGACGCGCCAGCTGGATGTCCTTGGGCATGATGGTCACCCGCTTGGCGTGGATGGCGCACAGGCTCGTGTCCTCGAACAGACCGACCAGGTACACCTCGCTGGCCTCCTGCAGAGCCATGACAGCGCTGCTCTGGAAGCGCAGGTATATATATATATATATATATATATATATATATATATATATATTATATGCATAGATGTCACAGTAAATACGGGACCCCACGCAAACAACATGCACGACCTTAGGGTAGCATGCCTAGCAGACCTCACCCTAATTTCATTTTAGTTGACCGCTCCAGGAAACCCTAGTGTACCGTTGGGTGTAAAAGTTTCTCATGTATGCGCCAAAGGATTGAAAATGAAATGAAAAAAATGGGATAAGACATCAAATCTCCAGGAACTTATGTACAGGGACAGTTCAGGTGGGATAATCGAAGCGAAAGATCTCTGACCGGTCCATTGGACACCTCAGTGGCGCACGTATACAGAACGTGCGTACATCGTTGCGAGGAAAACGTGACAGGTAAACACGTTAAGTATGCCCAATGCCGAATTAGGTAATATCATCGCGTGCGTACTTTGATAGATGCAGCATTGCACAAGAAACACTAACTGTAAAGAAGACGTTTTAACGGCAGGAGACAAGTATTCATATCTTTAAATCGTTGCGCGCAATCGTCAACTTTGTTCAAGGCAAGTAAGCATGCATCATCTTGGGACGTCACATGAGCAGCATTTTTCATGTGAAGCACATCTAGAAATGGCGCTTTAGTCATTGTCTTGAACACCTTGACCTAATTATTGGTACTGATCATCTATTACTTCAAATTTAACCATGCGTGTTTCGATCAGCTTTCCGCGCGTGCTGGATGTGGGGTGGGTCTATAATACCATGTCAAAGATTATTCACCTTCATTCAACGATATTCACTACTGACCACGAATAATTTTTTATGTCAGCTTGCTATCGCTAAAAAACCATCCCATCGTAGCCACAATGCTGGTGTATGATGCCGGAAATGGTTATTAACTCGAATTTATTTGTTATTTGAACCTGCTTGTATTTAATAACCCGAACTTATGATGTCTACATTATACTGACAATCGAGCAGTCAAGATCGGCATCCAGAACTGCCCACTGCTGGTGTCGATTTCGACAATTTTTGGGCATAACGCGGCTATAATTCCATTTCATATTCCGCCTGCTTTCAATGTTTTTTAGCAGCCCAAAATGCAGCCCAAAATGCAGGCATTGAGCACCTTACCGGGCTCAGCTTTGACAATCAGCGACTTATGCTCGGCACGGCGCCTCCAGCCGGCTCCATTGCGTCGTGGGGCGGACATGGATATGTTACTGAGCCAGTAATCCGGCCGGCCAGCCTCACGCACGTGGTCTTCGTAATGGTGTCGACCGTATGCGTGCGGCCGGTGCTGGGCGGGGAACGCTGCCTGCCAATAAGGGCGATTATTCATACCCTGGCGGCCGCTGTAGGAACTAGTTTGGAAGCTTTGGTCTTTGGACATTCTGTACCTTGGACAATACGTACAGTGGACATTCTGTGCTTTGGACATTCCGTACCTTGGACATTCTGTGCATTGGACATTATGAAACGGCCCCTTACACTCTGCGCCATTTTGAAAGTTATTTCTCATCTTGGGCATTGTGTACCTTGGACATTATGAACTTTGGACATGCTGTACCTTGGACATTCTGTACTTTGGACATTCTGTACCTTTGGACATTCTGTACCTTGGACAGTATGATACGGACCCCGCCTCTCCCTGCGGCGGCGGTGGGGGATTACTCTCGCTTCAGTGGAGCGATCAACCATCACCTCAGTTTCTTCAACATGTCTCTCGGCATTTTCAAACTCGTCATTTTCAGACTCCGAGTCATTTTCTGAGTCCCACACCCTTTGTTCCGCGTCAACGCTGGCCATCTGTCCGCGTCATTTGTCACCTCATCTGCCTATGTCCCCCGGCTCCTGTCACCCTGGCTCGTCAGATGTAGCTGCCTTCTTCCCACAGGTTTCAACTGATCGAAATGACGTATGAAACGATGCCTAAAGTTGTCCTCTCTTTTGATGCGGTATGTGTTCCCTTGTCGGCAGCTGATCACTACAAAGGGGCCATCCCAACGGGGTTGAACTTTTCCTGGCGTTCCTGGCTTTTGTGGAATCTTCATACACACCCGATCCCCCAGACGATAAGGTATCATATTTGCCGTTTTTCTACTAGTATCCACTCTTTCCTGTTTTGTCTTCTGCTCCCGTCTGACCACCTCCTCGTGAGCTCTTGCCAACGTTTTCACCAGGTTTCTGGCCCAAGATAGCTCTGTGCTGTAACGGCTCGAGGAACTTTCCTCCGTTCGAGCTATCTCAGGAGTGCGTGGGTGGCGACCAAACTTGAGAAAAAGGGAGACCTGCCAGTGGCGTTGTGTGGAGCCGACATATACTGGAATCTAACAACACCTAGACACTTGTCCCACTCGCATCCCGACTCCTGCACATTGCGACGGATTAGGGCACCGATTGTCTGGTTCGCCCTTTCCACAGCCCCATTCGACTGCGGATGGAATGCACTAACCCTTTTTTATCTATGCCCATCAGTTTGGCCAACACCGCCAGATGCTGGTTGTTAAGTTCCAGACCACGATCTGTCAGTATGGATTCCGGGAGACCGTGACGGTACACGACACTCGATCAGCGAGCTGGCGAGGTTTCTGCCGATTTGTTTGGAATGGCGGCCAATTCGACACTTTTGGTCAGAAGGTCCAGTGCGACTAGAACGTACCGATTACCCCGTCCTGTGGTTTGCCGTCCGAACGGCCCCATCAGGTCAACACCGACCTACCTAGGAGCTACCAAGGAGCATGGGCTGCGTCGTCATTTCCAACGGCGCCGTGAAACGACGCTGCGTGTTGTTTGAGCGTGCACATACCAAACAGCTCCTACAGTAGTTCCTGACATCCTGCTCCATTTCCCACCAAATATATCCAGCCTGCTTCATAATAAGCTGACAGGTTCTTCCAGCACCGAAATATTCGAACTCGTCATGTTTGAGGCTCAAAACACGTGGAATGAAACTTTTCGGGACCAGTGTGTACATGTTGCCTGCTTTGACGACGACTAATAGACTGCTGCCTTTATCAATGACCGGTTCAAAACCACGCTGTCGCCACCGACGGCTGTGTGGACCCTGCACTCTGTTGAGACGTGCCTCCATGCGCAGTGCCCTGGACGCCTCGTCCTGCTCCTGAGCATCTCGCATGCCCTCTTCGACCGGGTGAGACGGATCGCGTGACTGGGACTGTGGCGCTGGCTGCGCTGCGGAGATCATCACGCGAGACTGAGCATCAGCTTGTTGCTTTTTCTCGGCGCGACGGAAATGTATGGAAAAATTTAACTCCTCAATCTCTTCAACCCAGCGTGCGTACCACCCTCTCGGATCTTTGGTGTTGCGTAACCATTAAAGCCCACAGTGGTCAGTGAACCACTTAAAGCGTGCTCCAAGCAGGTACAGTCTGAATTTCCTCAAAGCAAAAACAAAAGCAAACACTCCCTTATCTGGAATGTGCCAATTCATTTCACTATCTGAAAAAGCCTTCAAGGCAAAACTTACCGGCCTGTCGACCCCTGATTGGTCTCTCTGTGATAGAACACAGCCCAAACCAAAATCCGATGCATCCGTGCTAACCTCAAATTCTGGCTGCATGTCTGGTAAGTGCAAGAGCGTGAACGTCCGGAAGGCCTGTTTCAGTTCTTGAAAAGCATTTTCTTTCCGTTCATCCCACTGGAACTTGGTCTTGCCAGAGATTTTATGCAGCGGAGCCGCTACAACCTGGAGATGTGGTACAAAATCATTGTAGTAATTGCAAAGCCCAAGAAATTGTTTCAACTGTTTGGTTGTCTGTGGTCGCGGCCAATTCTTGATAACCTCGACCTTTCCTGCATCTGGCTAAAGACCTGAAGATGACACAGCGTGCCCAAGAAACCTTATTCGCCGCCTACAGGGCACCACTTTCTTGCTCTTTACAGTCAAACCAGCCCACCTCAGTCTTTCCAGCACAGCTTGCAGCAGGTGCAGGTGGTCCTCTTCAGTTTTTCTACAGACGATGATGTCAGCGAGATATGCGGTAACCCCTTTTCCAATCAGGCCCCGCAATACCTCTGCTACCAGGCGAGAACAGCACCCAGGCGCCCTCTTAGCCCCAAATGGCATCACCCGGAACTCCCATTGCCCGTCCTCTGTTGTAAATGCCGTTTTTCTGATCTTCCACAGGGGCCACTGGGACCTGCCAATAAGCCGAGTTCAGGTTCAGCGTGGTAAACAGCTGGGACCCGGCCAAGCTATCCAGGCATTCCTTGACAGATGGTAGGTAGCGGACCTCATCCATCGTCTTGCTGTTTAACGCACGGAAGTCCACCGCGAAACGAAAAGAACCATCTGACTTCTTGACCATCAAAATAGGTGACGACCAAGGAGAATTGGAACGCTGGATTAGCCCACGGGCTTCCATGTCAGCGATTTGCCTTCGCACCTCTGGTCTCAAATGATATGGGGTTCTTCTTGGCCTGACTGCAACAGGTGGCGACCCGCCGGTGTTTGTGCCGAAGTGGGCACAATGTGTTCGACCCAGCTCAGCATCAGAATTTGCGAACACGTCCCGATATCTGTCAAATAGACTCTTAATTTCCTGCGACAGACCTCACTGACTTCCGCTTCCGCCAAATCAGCGTTAACCGGTCCGACCCGTTTAGGCTTGTCACTCCTACTGGAGCCGTCGTCATGTCTTCAACCTTGCCAAGAATGGAATGGATATAAAGGCGGACATAATCTGGTCCGGGGTTTTCCACGAGGATTGGAATGCAGTT